AAATGGTTCCAAAAATCTCATTCCAACTGGATTACCCAAGGTAACAGGAACACCTGATACTACCATTTGAGAACCACTATTAGAAGATGAAAAAAAATCATGTAACTACTCTTAAAGACAATCAAGGAAACTGGATCGATAAAGAAGAGGATATACATTCTCATGTCTCCAGCTACTTCTAAAACCTTTTCCAATCTAACTCTCACAACTTGTTGTATTTGCACATTGCCCTTTCCTTCCCTCATAGTAACAAAACTCTCATGGATAATCTGGCTTCTACCCCCTCCGAGGAAGATATTAAAAAGGCTATCTTTTCAATATAAAGCCCCAAACTATAATGGCTTTGCACTAGTCTTTTTCAAGTCTAGTTGGGAAATTGTTGGGCCACAAGTTTATAGTTTTGTTACTAACGTCTTTGAAGGCATTACTGCTCTCTTGGATGCTAACAAGACTATAATATCTTTGATCCCGAAGACTGATAATCCTGTTCTTGTAACCCAGTTTGGGCTTATATTACTATGTATTGTCCAGTATAAGTGCATCACCAAAATCATAAATCTTAGACTTGAAATATTTATGAATGAGTTAATATTGCTGTACCAATCCAACTTCACATTCTAGGAAGGCAGATTCAAGATAACATCATAATTGGCCAAGAACTTATGCACATCATGAAGAAAGCTAGAGGCAAAACTGCTTTCTTTGCAATGAAGGTCGACTTGAAGAAAGCATTTGATCACCTTCGATGGGACTTCCTCCATCAAGTTCTTGTTGAGATAGGAATGGATTCTAAATTTATTGCTCTCATTATGAATTGTATTTCTTCAGTCTCCTATAGTGTCTTATGGAATGGTTTACATTTTAAATTTTTCTCTCCTGCTTGCAAACTTCACCAAGGAGATCCTATCTCACCATTCCTTTTTGTTATGTATGGATAGGCTTTCCCACTTGATTAGTGATGCAGTTGATCGAGGGGACTAGAAACCTATTTTAGTAACAAAAACTGGCCCTACAATATCACACCTAATGTTTGCAGATGACATTCTCCTGTTTGATGAATTGTTTGTGCATCTCTTGTGATGGTTCAGGTGAAAAGGTTAACGTAGCCAAATCCTCTATATTTTTCTCCAAGAATGTATCTACTAAAATAAGGGGGAGAATCAAAGGCAAGACTAGTATGCAAATCTCTAATGATTTAGGCAACTATCTTGGCTTCCCCATCTTCATAAAGAAAAAACCTACTGAAAGGTTTCAATACATAGTTGATCACATCAAAAGCAAACTAGCTGGCTAGAAAGCTAATTGCCTTACTACAGCTGGACATATTAACTTAGCCAAATCTGTCATCAGTTCCATTCCCTTTTATTCGATACAAGTGGCTAAAATTCCTACACCTATTTATTTTGAGATCGAAAAAATCCAGCGAGACCTTATTTAGGGCAGCAAATTCCATGCCATTAACTGGGAGTGCATTACCCTCCCCAAATCTTATGGTGGCTTGGGATTCAAAAGACTGAACTCAATCAATAACGCCTTTGGAGCTAAACTTGCTTGGTGCTTGATTTCTGGCTCCTCTAGCTTATGGGCCCAAGTTCTTTAGCAAAAATATATGCTACAGGATAAGGAGAGTTTGTTAAGCACTAAACCTAGTGACTCTCAACTATGGAAGTTCATATGCCAACAAAGAGACCTTATTGAGGAAGGTACTAAGTGGCAGATACGTAACGGTCAGTATATTAATTTTTTTAATGATTAATAGCTGATTGTTAGCACAAGGCTTAAGGACTTATGTATTAGACCACTTTTAGAAGAAGAGGATTCTAGCAAAGTAGCTGATTAGGTAGAATTTGGTGCGTGGGACTTCATACGTCTATCTACTATACTGCCAATGAATGTGACACAAATGCTAATTTCAATCCTTCCTCCCCTCAAAGAGGCTGGAAATGATATTATGACTTGGAATGCTGCATCTAATGGGCACTTTACTCTGAAGAGTGCTTACTATTTGCTGGAGAAAAACCCTCCAACTCTTTATAATCCCATCTTCAAATCCATTTGGAGATGGAAGGGTGTGGAAAAAGTCCGCCTTTTCATGTGGCAGGCCTATCACAATAGGCTCTCCACTAACTCTTGGCGAAGTTCTTGGTTACAAGTCTCCCCTCTATGCTCTTGGTGTAATGATAAGACTGAAGACACTCTGCATATTTTACGTGACTGTATGTATGCTCATGACTTCTGGTCACAGGCTCTTCATCCTATCCATCATGCACATTTCTTCTCCTGTACTTTGAAGGATTAGTTTGATTTCAACCTCAAGAACAACCTGGGGAATCTCATTTGTAATGAATGGAACCCTTTTCGGGGCGTCTCTATTTGGCACTTATGGAAATAGAGAAATACACACATTTTCGATTCCAAGGTCAAGAAACCAAACTACATTTACTTTATCCTTGCTTCTACATGGAAACTCTTCACTTTCCATGATGACATTAACTCGGATTCCTAGTTTTGCTCATCTTGGCAGCCTCCACCTGTTGGTTGGGTTAAATTAAATGTCGACGCTGTGGTAGTGCAAACTGATTTGACTGCCGGATGCGGTGGGATCCTTCGTGATCATATTGGAGCATGGATCGCTAGTTTCACCTCTCATCGAGGTCACTGAACCTGCAAGAAGTAGAAGCCTGGGCGTGCTATAAGGGTCTTCAACTTAGTTGTGATATGGGCCTGAAGAAAATTATCCTAGAATCAGACTCGAAAATTATTGTAGATGCTCTTCATGCACTACCTGATTCACACTCTGGTTATAGCCTTATCATCTTAGAGACCATGAAGTTACTTACCTATCATTGGGATGTCAAAGTACAGCATATTCCACGTGTGCAAAAAGCTGTTTTGATAGCTAAAGAGGCTTTATCTGTTTCTTCCATCTTAGATCGTGCCCCTACTTATATTAGGGCCTTGATTCAAAATGACTGTATGGGGTTTGAATCCCCCCCTTTCCCTCTAATATTAATGCGTTGGGCTCTTCCCTCCTTTTTACCCCAAAAAAAAAAAAAACAAAACCTGGGCCACTGAACATACTTCTCCACATGCCAATGAATTTCTAGGAAGGGGTAAAAGGTCAAAGAAGCTGATTCGTTCAGCTTCATTTAGATAATTAAATTAGAAAACTTACTTATAATTTAAGGACCTAGGAATCCTAAATTATTTAGTAAAATAATTATATATATTGTCTACAATTAAGAAAAATGCTATTATATATGTTCGGCAATAAAAAGTTATTGTTATTGACATTTTTGTGCAAACTGGACTGACTAGCTTTGTTTCATATTTTTTTGTAAGAATTAATGCTCAAATGTCATCATAAATTCATAATAAACATATTTTGATCAAGTGCCAGTGAATTAAAATTATATAATTCAAAAGATGCTTGCTGTTTCATCAATTTTTAATAATTAGTAATTTGAAGACATACACACACATATAATCACTTTGTTATTAATATTTTCATGATGTTAAAAATATTTAGAAGAAAATAAAAAAAATTCTATCAACTATCAAATGATTATATAAATGTACTTTATAAGGAAAAATTACACACTCATATTAAGCGTAATTTATAAAAAAAATGAAAAAAAATTAAATAAATGTATTAAAACTTGATTTAGACTTTAACTAATGCAAATCAAATCGAAAACAAAACAAAACCAAATGAATTTATTAAAAAATTAATTAGGTTTCAATTATGAGTAAATCAATTAGTTTAGTTCAGTCATGAGTGAACCTAAGATTTCAGCGTTATTTATTTAATCTTGTCGTGGGATTTCCTTATAATCCTCTTAATTAAAGTGGCGCTTGTAGGTTAGGAAGACTGGGATTGTTGACCCATGGGGCTAAAAAAAACAAACAAGAGAAAAACTTCCCTTTAATTGCCTGACGTACTAATAACTCTCGGACTTTTCCTCGGGGCGACTGACTCTTCAATCTTGGACTCTGTCACGCGCAAATATTTTCCACATACCTCTCCGTCTCCATAAAATTGGCTAGTTCAACTCGTGGAACCTGCTTCATCACTAGAACCGTCACTTAGCACTAAGCTTATTGAACCGATCCTTTTGAATTTAAAAAAATTTAGGATTGAATAGTTATTTTAGAGTGTAAAATGATAATTCATGCTCAAAAGAGAAAGGATCGAACCTTTAGATCTAGGGTCCTTTTAAGTTATTTTATAATTTTTAAAAATTTTAATATCATAAAAAAAATTAAATACAACATTAATTTTAAAACTCTGGCTTCATTTTACGAAGATGAAGAAAGAATATATAAAAATTTTAATATTTTTGTCACTGTTAAAGATTTACAAAGAAAATGATAAAATTATATTGATATTAATGACGATAAAAACTGTTAAGATTTCATTAATGATAGAAGCAAAGTTTCATTATTATAGATGTTGATTTTGTGATATTTTTTATTAGAGTTAAATTTGTTTTTATATATTTAATGTTATATGTAATAATTTTTTTGAGATTTTAAATATATTTTTAAGTTTTTAAATTAAAAAATAAAAAATATATAATTCTTTGGTTCTGAGGGTCAAGGTTAGACTGACCAAAATAAAGTCATGAGGTATAATCAAATTTTATAAAACTAACTCATTTAGACCCTAATCTTTTAAGGTCAGACCAACCCCAATTGACACTTATATTTATCATTATAATTTTACTTACTTTAAATTTATATTAGAATTCATTATTATCAAAACTTAAATAAAAAATAAATTAAAATGATTTGTTATGAATTTAAAGTGAGTTATTATTAAAATTAAAATAAATATTTATTAATAAAAAATTAAGTATTTATTTTAATTTTCACAACGAAGTCATTTTTGACTTGTGTAAATTTTTTCATGCAGTTTGGTGGGACCTGCCTCCTCAATACTCTTCGTCCTCCACTACACTTTAAGCTTTGACTCTTCTTCCTAGTCAGTACCATGACACTACCCGAAACTTCCCTCTTTCCCTGCGTCTTTCTCGCTTCATCTCCCAGACGACCCTTAAGCTTCCTCATCTCAGTTCAATTCCTTCAACAGTTTCACCCAATCATGGCTTCGCCGTTAAGTTCTGCGTGTGGATTGCTCCTGTTCGGGGTATTGTTGAGCTTTGGTTCACGAAGCTGTTATGGATTCCGGACCCTCCGATTCGCTATGCATCACCGGTATTCGGATCCCGTTAAGGGAATTATGGGCATTCACGACCTACCTGCTAAGGGAAGTCGAGAATACTATGTGGCCATGTCTCACAGAGACCGCCTAGTCCGAGGTCGTGGACTCGCCGGCGTGGATCCGACGGCTCTGACGTTCGCCACCGGCAACGATACTTATCGTATTTCCTCCTTGGGATCGTATGACTTCTTCAACCCCTGCTCAGTCATTCCATTTTATGATTTATTTTTTATTATTAGATAAAATATATTTTTAATTATTTAATTTTATAAAGTATTTTTTTAATTTTAATTTTAAATAATTATTTTATCATTTTAAGAAGATTAAATTTAATATATTCACATCTGAAGAAGTTTATATTAATATTTGAAAGTTTAATATAAAAATTTATTTAAATCAAATTAATTGTGTTAAAGTTAAATAATTAAAAAAATACTTTATAAAATAAAAATATTAAAATAAAATATTATATAAAATAAAATGATTAAATATATATTTTAGTTTTCATTATTTATATAAGAGAAAGAATTTGGCTTAATTTGTTTACAATATGTTTTTTTAAAAAAAAAATTGGGGATGTTATACTCGCGAAAATTTGTGCAGATTTTAAAAATACACAATTAATTTGCGTAATTTATTTTTTTGATGAATTTGCGTAATTTATTTCTTCCAAAAAATAAAATTGCGTAATGTTTTAACTGAATATAATGGAAGCCTGGCTGCTTACCCCACCTTTTTTCCCCACTAATCTTGTCCACAGTATAAACAACTTAGTTGTAATTTTTTTCCCTCTCGTTTTACCTCTTGTTTAACTTAGATTCTTTGTATTTTTAAATTTACAACCTTCATTTACGACTTTCTTTTCATTCATGATAAACTGAACCTAAAAATAATAATATATTTTCATGAAATTTTTTTATTAATTTACGAATTATTATTAAAAGATGTTTAAGACTGGAGGGAGTAATTTTTTTATTTTTAAGTCAAGTCAGTTTAATTTATTTTTTATGGAGATGTGTAGGTAAGGTTCATAATAGTACAGTTTTATTTTAACAAAAATCGATATATATTATTTTTTTATTATGGTGAAATTATTATTTATTTATTATATTTTCAAATTTCCCGCATTTAGTTTCGTGAGTAGAAATTTGTTGGTAAATCCATGTTTTGCGTAAACCTTGGAGTACAGATTTCAGAATATTGTTGCCAATAGTGTTTTTTTTATTTACTTTACGCACACTATAGACACAAATATAAAAATATATATATATATATATATATATTTTTTTTTCAAAAGATTGGGAGACTAGCACTGTGCGACATCTCCGTCCCTGATGGGCTGATCCCTATTCTAAATTTTAAAAACATTTGAAAAAGAAAATCAAAGGAATCATTTTTTTTTTCTTTGCGTCTATGAGAAACAAATTGTTCACCGAATATAATTCTACGAGAAGAATTGGTCCCCACTGTAATATTTTCAGGCAAACATTTTACAGAAAATAATGCATCATTTGGAGGTTTCTTAGAGTTTCTTTTGTTCCCGGAAGTTATTTCCCACCTCCTAGAAGCACTATACTTGACAACTTTTTTTATTAAATATTTTATACTTATTATATGCACCAAACGTTAGAAGAGATATAATTGTTTTTCAGAAAAAACATAATTTAGATCCTTATACTTTACTAATTTTTTACTAATGGTCTCTGTACTTTTTTCGATATTTTATGTCCTTATACTTTTACTTTTTTGATATTCTAGGTTCTTTCAAGGTCTCTACTCTTTGTTCTTGGAAGGGTTAAAAATATTGAAAAATAAAAATGTAGAAACCTAGAACGCTAATAACAAAATGCAAGTAAAGTGCAGGAAATAAAGTTATGTTTTTCATTATTTTTTGGGGAAGCTACATCTTGCAAATCATGGAATTGACCAGTAATATTTTATGCCTGTGTTGTGGAATTCAGTTTATATTACGCCAATGTTTCTGTTGGGACGCCACCTGTGTGGTTTCTTGTGGCATTAGATACTGGAAGCAACTTATTCTGGTTGCCGTGCAATTGTACCGCCACGAATTGTGTGCATGCCTTGCAAACACCAAAAGGGAAGGTGCATATCTTTAATAAATTTCTGTAAGTTTTGACAATTGCACTCAGTGATTTGGAATTAGGACTGGATGTCAAATCGGAAAGAACAACGGATTACGGTTTTCATGATTTAACGGGTTACTGTCGAACCGATGACATAAAAATTATATTTATATATACAAATATATGAATAAAACATTAATTTGTCGATGGTGCTTGAAATCTCAACGTGAAAGGCTAGACGCCTGGGCTGCTGAAACTTGAAGTAGAGGCATGTCGGCACAAACTTACGATCTCAAAGCAAAACACTAGAGCTGGAGGCATATCATCACGTCACGACTTGCAAGCTTTCGATCTCAATGTCAAAAGTTGGATTACTAGAGCTAGAGGCAAAAGTTGGAGGAGAGGTTAGGGATTGAGCTTAAGCTATGGAAAAGAGATCAGAGATTAGAGAAGAGAAGATAGAAGAGAAATCATGAATTTGAGTGACTTAATCTAAATTTCTTTCTTTTTTATTTGCTTTGACCTAGGTTGACTCGCTTTGGTTTCTAGGTCAAATTCAGTTCTCTTAAAATCAGCCAGGTCAACCTGATCCAAATGCTAATTTGGATCAACTAGTTGGACCAAGTTGTTTTGATCAGTGGGTGGCAGTCAGACCGTCCGATTCAATCTGGGTTTCAAATTTCAAGCCAAGAACAATGAGACTTGTCGCTTCATGCAATGTCCCAAAACCCCCAGATCTTATCTAATATGTGTTGCATCTTATGTTCTTAGTCTCAGGTTTTCATGCTTTTCCACTTTTAAATACTGCATGTTACATGCTTACATGTCATTTGTTATCTTCATCGTGTCTCACAAATAATTCACACTTTAATTTGTCATCACAACATGTCTTCCCTGTTGATCTACGTTCATGTTTTTTTACAAGTTCTAAGGATAGATGCATAATCGACTATGATATGAGAGATGTCTAACAAAATGACACTAATTTCTTTAATACTTTCATTTTACAGAGATTAAAACTTAACATCTATGATCCGCATGCATCCTCAACAAGCAAGAATGTTCTCTGTAACAGCACCATATGTAGGCATAAGAAACAATGTCCTTCATCTGACAGCAGTTGTGAATATCAAGTTCGCTATCGTACAAGGAACACATCATCAACTGGAGTCCTAGTGGAAGATGTCATGCGCTTAAGTACAGATGATGATCAGACCAAAGAAGTTGAGGCACGTATTAATTTTGGGTAAATAACTTTCTAAGATCTTATTCAAAATGGGATGATTTCTATCACGAAAAAGACTACCCATGGAGGGTTCTAACTGACAGGAGACCGAGTGAAGTGGAGCCGATGTCCTTAAAGGCTTCACTTCATGGCACTTCACTTGACTTTCTGTTGATCAGAACTCTCTGTAGGTAACTCTTTCCGTTGACACTGACTTCTTAATGAAAGCACCATTGTAATAAGTACAAGTCCAGAAAGAAAGCCTCTTGAATTTATAAATCCCACATTACTTGTAAGGCTTCCCGATGTGGGACTTGTGACAATTTCTTACGATAGAAGCCATGAATAGTCATGGAAACCACAGTTTTTTTTTTTTTTTTTTTTAAGATGATATGAAAAGTTATTTTCGTTGCAATTGGCTTCTGTTTGATTCTTGCTTGCTGAAGCTGCTTGAGGTTCAATTTGTTGCAGATGCGGTATAGTTCAAACAGGTTTTTTCTTGACTCGTGGAGCACCGAATGGTTTGTTTGGGCTTGGTATAAGCAATATATCAGTTCCAAGCATATTAGCTCAAGAAGGGCTCACTTCAAATTCTTTCTCCATGTGTTTTGGGGATGATGGTGTTGGAAGAATAAGATTTGGAGATAATGGCAGCTCAGACCAAAGAAAAACACCAATCAACATTGAAGCATTGCAGTAAGTGGTCATTCTTTTCAATGTTTTCAAAGTTGGATTGATCATTAAATAAATAGACGCATTTGTTCATAGTTTATTGGCTAGTTCTGCTCGAACCAGTGGTACAACTAGGTTTGACAAATTTTTGACCCATTTTTTGAGCTAATTTTTTTTTTCTTGGCCTACCAAATTGGGTTAGAGACTGGTTCATTGGTTTCCCATTGGTATAATTAGATTCTCATCACATGGATTCTTTTGTCTTTTTTCTTGTTATTAAGGTAGGTCTCTTGGATTTTGTCTCGATTAAAATCTTTCTCTGAAGAGATTTAAAAGACATGCTCTCCAATATTGACCAGTGAATTTGAGATTTTAATCTCGGATTGCTTTCAAAAAGTTTGAACGTAATTGTTAACATGAACTTCACTTCTATTTCTTCTTCCAACTGAATTAATCTCTTTGCTTATTTTGGTATATCAGAAGCCACTCACAATGCATGCAGGGGACATCATTGACACATGAAAATCTAGCATCTATTTTTCACACTAATTATACTAATTTTCTTTCGCAACTAATTGTCAGTCCAAGTTACAATATCACTATCACTCAAATTATTGTTGGAGAAAAAGCTACAGACTCCGAGTTCAATGCAATTTTTGACTCTGGATCTTCGTTTACATACCTAAACGATCCTGCTTATACAAACATTACGAGCAGTGTAAGTAATCTATGTTCACTGTATTTTATGACATCATTTTGTTTCCTGTGTTGAGTCGTTAAACTTTGTTCATTTGCAGTTCAATTCCATGGTCAAAGGAAAACGGTATCAATTTGATTCTCATATTGAAATTCCCTTTGAGTATTGTTATGAAAATACAACGAGGTTGGTTTATCTTAAGTCACTATTTAGTTCTTTCAAATTTTCACCTTTTTTTTTTTTGACAATTTTCTGTCCTTTGTGTGATCTGCAGCAATCAGACCAGTCTTGAATTTCCCTCCTTGAATTTGAAAATGAAAGGGGGAGACAATTATTATGTTATTCATCCTCTTGTTTATATTGCTTTTGAGGTAAGGAAGATCTGACTAGTACATGATATCAAGAATCTTTTACACACGTTCTTTGTTAAGCTAAAGCAATAGAGGTGAAACTTACCATACGGTGCATAAACAATCCTCTATATAATAAACTTGTACAAAGCCTCATGCTTACAAGTCATAAACAATACAACTTTATGCTAAGAAAGAGTAGACACATTTTATGACGCACAAAATCCGCCCTACACACATCATACAATATAGAAACCATCTAATATTTAACTAAAATGGACGTGTCACTGGTTTTCACCTTTAAAACACTGTTTTCAAACCTAGATCAACCTGGACAGTCAGAGTTGGACTGTCACTTGAAGAAGAAAGCAGTTTGGTTCAACCATTTAGCCTGTTCTGGCAGTTGACATAGGTTGGCCTCCTTTGACTCAGGCAGTTCTTGAAGACCCAACACAAAAACCTGAGACTTGGAGCGGTTGAACTATTTTGACCCGTTTTTTAATATATATATATATATGTATATATTTTTTTTTATTTAATTATTATTTCACCAGTTTAACCACCGGTCTGATCGTTAAATCATAAGACCCGTGATCCACTAATTTTGCTGGTTCATTGTCCAATCCGGTTTTTACAACATTGCCTAACACATTATTATATGATATATCATCTCTCTTCTCAGTGTCCTAATTCTCCTCGTGGTCTCCAGGGTGTTGAAACTGTCAGCACTGCGATTTGCCTTGGAATCGTGAAAGATGATGATGATGTGAATACCATAGGACGTGAGTATCCAATTGATACACTCCTAAATAAGATACATGGTCATGAAAATTTTCACTCAGTTCATGTATCTTGTTGGAAATTTAGTTCTGTCAAATCATGGCTTCTGAAAACACAGCTTAATGTTTTACAAAAAACAGTCATTGCTAAAAGCATTAATGCATGATTGCATAGCCAGTCAATAGTTATCAGCTTGCCATATTCATCTTACTTCATCATGCAGAGAATTTCATGACTGGTTACCATATAGTCTTTGATCGTGATAACATGCTTCTGGGTTGGAAGAATTCTAGCTGTGAGTATAGTTTCGCTCTTCTGCAACGAATATTTGCATATATAGATATACCTGTGTGCAGGGGCGGAACTAGGTTAGGCCCCCCATCTTTTTTTTTTTTTCTAAAGAGTTATAAATCTCATATTTATATCATATCTCTCAACAATAGTTCGATCTAGAAAGATTTTTAGGTTTGGTTGAAAGGGTTTTTTAAGTTGTTTTTTGGCAGGGTTTATCAATAATAATTGTTGTGGGTTTGATAGATTCTGCAATACTTTAATAAGATGAAATCAATTCTAAAAAGGGGTTATTTCAGCCAAATCTAAGCTCAAGCATGTTAAGAGAGAGAGAGAGAGAGGAGGAAGAGTACAAAAATGCTTGCCTCAACAACTTATGATATGAGAGAGAGAGAGAGAGAGAGAGAGAGAGAGAAAGTTGACATAAAAAAAGCCATCAAAATTTAAGTTATTTTTCTTCTGGTTATGTTTATGAAGGTAGATAGATTTTTTTTAATTTTATTTATAGGCATGTCATTAATTTTTTATTACAATTTAGAAAATAGGGATGAGAGAAAACTAAAAGGAAAAGTTTTCAAAAATTGTAATTCTTTTACTATTTTCAGGATTTTTTTTCTTCTAATTTTCTTTCATTTCTAGCTGTTTTCTTCAATCCAAACGAGGAATAAATGTTGGTAAGAGAAAACACATTAATAAAGTATGTAAATTAAATATGAGTAAAGTTTAAAAACTCATTAAGTATTTAGAAACTGTTATTGATTTTTAAGATTTTTCTTAATTCTAACAAAACAAGTTAAAACTACTTTATAAATAACACGGATGAAATGCATGTGCTTATACATGTTCATTTATTTACAATTGTGCATCCCAACTTTGGCTCCCCTTAAAATCTCATGCTGGTTCTGCCCCTGCCTCTGTGTGTGTGTGTGTGTGTGTCTCAAGAATTACCTTATATTCCAATGAGATGTTTCACTCAGGTTATGATGACAAGGTGTCAAATGCATCAGCTGTAAACACTGCACATTCTCCAGCTGTTTCTCCTGCAAGTCCTATAAAACCTAAAGCCTTACTTAACCAGTCTGAAAGTTCAATGCCTAATCACTCATTCAAGATCAAACCTTTTATGGTTACATTTCTTATGGTTCTTTTCCCAGGATTTGCAATTTTTTGATCACTCTGGTCGAATTCGAATTCTCTAAAGCATAATTCAGCCAAAATGAGAGGAGAGAAACAGAGCAAGGGGTGAAACTTGAGTTCTACAAAAGCATGTTCTACCTCTCCATCTTTCTATATATATATATATATATTGAAGTTCTCAGCTATCCATTTTAGTTTTATTTAAAATTAATTCAGACAATGCTCTTCACATTCATTCAGTATTGTATTATTTGAAGTGTAGGGTAAAATACTTTGTCTAGTAAAGCAAAAAAAATTTCCGTCCATGTATGTGATTAATGTATTTGACATTGACATAAATCAGATAGAGGCTTCTATAATTTTCCTATCATCATTTCCCCCAAAGCTCTTTGAGATGTGGAGAAAGCTGTGATCTGCAAATAACCATAACATTTTACCAAGCACAAATGTAAGAAATAACAAGTGAAATGTTCTAACAAGTATATTGTGAAAAATTTCAAGTAAGAGTATTGTTTTGATAAGTATGAATATAATAAAAAATGATATTAATTATTCCCTCCGTTTAAAAGTGTAAAGTATTTTTAATCGAATCTCACCCCTAATAAAGTAATTATATACTTTTAAACTAATCATATCTTTCCATATTTACCCTATTAAACACCATATAATAAATATAAAGTCATTCATCAATAGAGGTATTTTTTAAAAAAAAAAAGACAATGATTACACCTCAAAAGATTAAAAATGCCTTACATTTTTTAATATCCAACTCTTTAAAAAATATCTTATATTTTTTTAACGGAGGGAGTATATTAGTTTATCAAGCATGAAAATGGAAAATAACAAGAATGATATCAAAAAATAACAAGCGTAACTATTTTCATCTTTTCTCCCATGGTCTTGTTATCAAATGCAGGGACTTCAAAATAAATTCAAAATGCTTTGGTTCTTTTCCACAATTAATGTCTCTAACAGTTCTTAAACGTGATTTTCTTAGTAATTTTGTATTTCATTTTTCTTCAATCACGCCTCGAAACTGAAATTGGATCCTCTCTGTTAATGCACTCATGTATCAGGAGAGAACGATGCAAGAGAGTGATGCTAAATGTGGCTTATACATTATTGTGTTTTGTGTATCCATAAAGTATTCCATTCTTTGGTTAGCTTAATTTTGAACTTCAAAATTCCCATTTCTTTACTTACTATGACATTTCCGAGCTTCTTTTTGCGTTCCGATGATAATTTTTTAGTTTTGATTTTTTTAAAAAAAGAAATTCTAGTTCCCCTAGCTTTTGGAAATTCTAAAACAAAATTTAGAGGAAGAAGTCAGGTCAAATGAGTTTGTTATCTAATCATATCAAGTTAGCATGAGGTTTGAAAAGCTCCGATTAAACTTGGACCATTTAAATTAGAACAGATTTTACTTTATTTTATTCTTAAAATTTTAAAATCTTTTTAATTTTAACAAACATAAAATGCAAAATAAAGATGATTTTCTAATTAAAAACGGTAGGTTTTAAATTTGAATACCACTCATCCTTAAGATCAACATCGAATCCAAATCTAGCTCATCAAGGGTGATACAGGCAAGGCAACAAGTCATTTTCTTTTTTTTTTTTTTTCTTTTCATAGAAAGGACAAGCCAAGGCTTGAAGTACAAGAAGGTTACAATAGATTCTCTTCCTTCACAAAAACATCCAGACACATCCTGGACATGGGTAAGAATCTCAGTTTCTTGCTCAGTGTATGACGCAGCTTTAGCTAATAAGTCAGCACAGCAAATTGATTCCCTACCTGTGAAGACAACTTCAATTTCTTTTAGAAGACACAAGTAATTCCTTATCTTATAAACTTCTAGCATAAGAGGATGTTGTGGTGCACATTCCCGCATGATCAAATTCAGGCCAAAAAGTGAATCAGTATGAATTTTAATTTTTTCCAATCCACGTTCTTAGCATATTTGTAGTGCTTCAATGATACCTTCTAACGTGGGCGGCGTTATGTGTAATTCGAGGAAGGCAAAGTATCCCTTGAATTTGGAGAAAATTACAAAAAGAGGTTGTACATTTCACTAATTTATATCTCTTGGATATAAATATTTTGCACCCTTTATTCCAACTTTAATGATGTTTGGGTTCCAAAAAAATTTTAAATATATTCAGCTAAAGCCCAAAAAAATGTTGCATCCTTTGATTCAGGATCTTGACACCGTCACTGAATCTTCTAACTTAGCTTTAATGGAAGGTCCTTTGCCTAGGCGTTTCTGAAAGCCCAAATATCCACTCGCTTCTGGAATTCTTCAATGTCCCTGCACAAGCCGTTTCACCATGTGAGTTGACCAATCCATCTTACATCAAATCTAAGGAACTCTGTGAGGCCCCCATGATTGTTGACCACGGAATTCCAGATAGAAATTTTTTTCCCTGGGACTCATCGCTTCTTCTTCCTCCAGCAAGCCATGTTTGCAAATTTGAATCACTTCCATAGCTGTTAACTATCTTCCTTCAAACCAATGTTTTCAGAATCGGTCCGAATATTGAATCGGAAAGGTCAGTGGTTCACAATTCGCATGATTCAATTGGGTTGAATCAACGGTTAAATTGATAACGTAATAATTAAATAAAAAAAATATAATATGCATATATATATATATATATATAATTTAAATACAAGAAATAAATATGAAATTGTTAGTTAACTTAAAAATAAAACTAAATATTTTAAATTTATCATGACTTAACAAGTCACCTGATATAGCATAACATCAAATGATTAAAAAAATTGATCATTTTTTAAAAAATTTGATAAAAATTTTTTTAAAAAGGGTTTTTTTGAACAATTCGATTTTTGAAAACCGGATCTGATTTTCGGTGTGACTGTCAGTCCAAAATGTCCCAATCCGGCTCAACCTCCAAAATGATTTTTGCATGTTAACCGAGCCAAAATCCAAACCGGTTCGATTTTTTAATCACTACTACAAACACACAAATGCACCTAGCTTTCCAAAGCCCTCAGCAAATGTGACTGAAAACTGTATGCCATTGCCATCGTCTAAAAGTTCCATTAGCCGCTTCATGCTTAGCATTCCACTTAATCCATTCGTGCAAAGACAAATCAAAACTTTTTTGCACAAGGTTAGGATTAATACATGCCCTCCAGACCTCTCGAGAAATTTTACACTCTCTCAATAGGTGAATTGCACTCACATTTCTGTGACACTCATAAGGACTGGTAGCATCGTTAGTGAGGCCTCTTCTAGCTTTATAAGAGTTAGTTAAGATTTTCTTTTGGCTAGCTTGCCAAAGGAAAAACTTTTGCATTTCCGGAATCCTCCATTTTCATAGTTTGCTCCAAAAGACATTAGAACCCTTGGGACTGATTTCCCAAGAAGTCATAAGTGGCCTTTACAGAAAAGTTACCATCTGAAGCTTTAACCCAGCAAAAGGAATCATCCAGTGAGCCCCTAGGCACCTGCTTGCTTCAAAATTTCAATGCTTCAAAAAAGTATCACTGTTTAGAACTTTGATGAGGAAAATTTACAAGTCGTTACTTCACTTTTTATCATTCACAAGACGAAAATTTAACGGTGACATTTTTACTACTGAATTAGTTATATTTACAACCAATTTTCTTTTGTTTAATATTCAACATGCAGGAAGGGTTAGGTTGGACGTGTGCTTGGCTTTGTTGATTCATATGGGTTTGCCACACATGTTTGAGTTATTTGAGACTAGTACGGATCTTAGAAAAATGGGTTCACAAAATTTCTAGGATATCATTCCTGTATTGTTACAAAACTTTTGGCAACTCTTGAAAGACTTAAATTTCGCTAGGAGGAAAAATATTCTCATATCAACATTCATCATGACTCCTTTAGAAACTATTAATTTTATACAAAGTGAATAAATAAATGGTTTAAATTCACTCATTTAATGAGTATTTTAATTATAGTCATTAAATTTTATCTCACTATTTCAAAATTATCAAAATACATTTCTCTACAAAAATTCAAAACAATTCTCATCCTCTTCAAAAATTTGAGATTTAATATTGTTAAAGTATAATATGATAAATCTCTTATAGTTGTTTGATTAAATTGAAGTATTATTATTTATCATATGAGACACTTATTAATTAAGAGGCCTAAGCATGCCCACCAAATCCAAATTCTAAATATTTCTTTTATTACAAGAAAGACCTTGGTCCTATAATACTATAATATAATATTACAAATTCTCAGTCCTTAGGAATAAAAAACTTTTGAATTTGATTTTCAAAGTAATTTTCCCTTTAAAATAAAATTTATTTATGGATTTAAAATGTAAAAATCATGATGGCAATTGACAGCATTCTCAATTAGCCTAAATAGTTTAAACTATTTAAAATGTAAAAATCATGTTGGCAAAAAAAAAAGCCTAAATAGTTAAAAATAAGGAAAAATGATAATAAAATTCTCTCAAATAATATAAATGATAATTTGATCTCTTTAAATTACATAATTCTACTAAAGTCTAAAAAGATTTCTGTGTCAATAAATTTTTAAATGAAAAAATTATTTTATCCTAATTAAAAATAACAAGCACGAATTACAACTATTAAAAATTTTAAGAGTTGAATAAAAAATCACAACTTCTCAAAATAATAAATTCTAAAACTAACAAGTCCCAATCATAACTTTTATTTAAAAAATAATAATTTTTATTCAAAAATTATAAGAATTAAATAAGAAATCAAAACTTGTCAATAAGGGTAAAATAATTTTTTTAATTTAAAATTTGTTGACACAAAAGTATTAAAGACTTCAATGAAATTATAACATTTGAAAGATTATATTATCATTTTTTATAATTGAAAAAAATTTTATTATCATTTTTTCTAAAACCAATAGGAATGGACACATGTCCATCCAGGTCACTTTATATTTTACTCCCTCCCTCCAATTCTATTTATAAAATATTTTAGACATTTTTCATCTATTTCAAGACATATTATTATTTTATTTTTTGAAAATTTTATCCTAAGTTTTTAATTATATCCTTTTTGTTTATTGCTCACATATATCTTTTTATTAGAGATAATTCTATTCAAAGGTACAATTAATTATTAAATATAAACATTCTAGAATATAAGTAGAAATTAAATTTCCAAAGATAATTTTTTATCCATACAATTTAGAGAGAATTTCAATAAAAACCAGTGTTTTCAGAATCGGACCGGACATTGAACCAGAAAAGTCAACGGTTCACGGTTCGCATGGTTCAACCGGTTGGACCAATGGTCCAACCGGTGACGTAATAATTAAATTAAAAAAAATTATATATGTATATAATCATTTAAATATAAGAAATACATATAAAATTGCTATTTAACTTAAAAAACTTAAATATTTTAAGTTTATCACGACTTAACAAGCTATATGATACACTATAATATCAAATGATTAAAAAAATTAGTCATTTTTTTAAAAAAATTTGATAAAAAATAAAAAAAAGTTTTTTTTTGAACAGTCCGGTTTTTGAAAACCGGATCTGGTTCCCGGTCCGACCGCCGGTTCGAAACGGCTCAACTCTAAAAATGATTTTTTTCTTTGAACTAGACCGGAAACCAGACCGGTCGACAGTCCGACCGGTCTGACTGGCCGGTCCGGTCCGGTTTTCAAAACAGTGATAAAAACCCATTGACTATACTTATTTAAATTCAAAACTCCTAAATCTATAAAATTACACTACAATCTAAGAGTATTGATTTGATATTAAATTTTTAAGAGAAATGATAAAATTATCCTTTATTTAAATTAATATTAAAACTTTTCTACTTCACTCATTTATGTTCTACTTCACTTATTAATTTACTTACAGAATATTGTTAATTATCATACTTAACTTATTTTCATTTTAGGTGTTTAAATTATTTTAAGATAACTTATTGATTCTTATATCGTATATTGTTCATTATTTAAATACTATTATTTATTATCCTACTTCACTTAATCATTGCCAAACTTTCACTTTATTTCATTTCAGGGAAATGAATAAGTGAAGTAAAGCAATTAACAACATTATCCAAATAAATGAACAAATGAAATAGAATAGTTCAAATATTAATTTAAATAAAATAAAATTTTATTATTTTTTCATAAATTTAATATCAAATTAGTTCCCTTATATTTCAATAAAATTTTGGGGGTTTTGAATTTAAATAAGTGTGATCAAGGAGTATTTATTGAAATTCTCTCTAAAATTTAAACATTTATACTTGATTTTTTGTAATATAGCCGTGTATGCTTTATATTTAATTTGTGCATAGGCTGTTTTAGCATGTCCTCTATAAATTATAAAAAAACATAGAAATATTTAACACATATTGTAAGGAATTGATTTGTTGATTATAGGATTCATTACCAACCATTATAAATAAACAAATAATTATACTTTCTTTGTCTCAGTTTATAAGATAACTTTAGAAATATTTTGACATCTTAAAATATAAAATATTTTGATAAAAATAAAATTTCATTAATTATACTTGTTTCAATATTACCCTTCTCTCCTTATTATATATTTTCTCTCTATTTAATATTTTAAAAATAAAATTATATTAAAATATGAAAAATATTAAAAATTTATATTTGTATTTCAAAAAATAAAATATATTTTATAAATTTTTTTATGCATAATTTTCTCAAAAATATTTTATAAACTAGTGCGGATGAATGAAGTATACTCCCACTAATCTCTATTACGAGGCACTTCCAAAAAGTATGTTTTGATCATTAATATATTTATAATATTATATTTTCATTTTAATTATAATTATGAAAGAATATGTAATGTAAATTTTAAATTTTTTATTTAAATATAAATAAAATTTAAAATTTATTTTATTTTTAAATAAAATTAATAATTTAATCACCTGATTCCAGCCAGCCAGCTAGAATTGCCACGTTAACAGCCATCCATGAACAGTGCTAGTGGATTCAAACATGATTGCGGAGCTCAGTATCAGTATGCCGCAACAGACTCACGCAGGATCAAGGCAGGCATAAAACACTTCCCGGTTCCACCAGCTAGTTACTCTCACTCATTTTTCCCTCCAAAATCGTCCCTTCCCAATCCAACACCAAACACTCTTGCTCTCTTCTTCAAGGTTCCTTCTACTGAGAGAAACTCGCTTTTGGACTCGCAATTCACCTGGGTGAATCGCAAGAAATTCTCAATCGATTTTTTTCTGTTGTTTTGATTCTGAACAAGATGGAGGATTACTTGCAATACATGAAGGCATTGCGCTTTCAAATGAACGGTGCCGATTTGGAGCATATACTCATTTTCTGATTTAGTTTTTGTGATATGGAAGTGAATTAGTTGAATTTTGTGCAGATGTTGAGGATCAAGCGGCAAAGATTTCCGCGGAGGAGGAAATGAAGTTGACGAACGTCCGCATTTTGGAAAAAGACATCGAGTCAGGTCTTCTTTTCTCCCCGTATCTTCTTTGTAATTGTATTTTTCTTTTCTTTTTTCTTTTTGTGTAAATTTTCTTGGAATGGTAAAATCTGGACTAAAGTGCTTCGGTTCTGCTCAAGATTAGCATCTATCAATATATTCAATCGTTATAGTTCCTTTCCCAATCCAATGAGTATCTTAACTTTTCTAGTTTTAATGACTTGAAAAGAACAAAGAGAGCTTAAACATTATACTGAGACCTACTAAAATCTATGTATGATCCATTTCACGCCCAAACACATGCCTCGACTTGGACGAGTGAAGAAGTGGAGTAGTGTACATTGCTAAAATGTTTGTAAAATTACTAGCAAGCTTATGAGGTCGAAAAAATCAAGATCACATTCAGCGACTTTGTATGAAAACTAAACCTAAATAATCAGATTTTTGGATGATTAAGCTCATGCTATCGTAATTCTGTTGTTGTCTTACTGAGACTTAGTCTTGTTAATGGAATGCTAAGAACATGTTTCAAAAACGAATATTGCTGCTAGCCAGACATTTGTATTTCTGTCTCTTTTGGTCATGTTTCTTCTTCCTCTAGCTCATCCTCTATTTGAAAGGGCCATGCAATTCTACTGATACTATGAAAACCATTCGTTTCAATTTTAAATTTGTTTTTCCTCTAAAATTTGGATGGTGGATCTCTTACTCTAAATTATCTGAGCATCTTATTTTATGTGTAGCAAAATCTGAAATGAGGCAACTTAGAGAGGATATTGAAACGATGAGGAAGGCAAAGGGTGAGATATGCTCTAAAATTTTGGAAAAACAGAGAAAGATTTCCTCTTTGGAGTCTGACTCATCTACGCTTAGCCAGGTAACTTCTTAAACTGGTTATTAAATTTATCTGTGTAGAATAGTTACACGGAGAAAAGAAGTTTGTATTATTGGTGGCACTATAGCTCTCAGCCTGAGGTTGAAATTCCTCTTTCTTTGCCTCTCTAGTGATAAAAATAGCAACTGCCTTTAGCCTTATTTTCAAGGTTATCTTTAATATGATATTCTTAGTTCACTTTTGTCTTTGCATTTAGTAAGTTGAGACGTTATTTTTTGAGCTGATTTACCACCCAGAATTGCAATTTTGTCATTTGTCATAGAAGGGTCAACCTTTTTACAGCCATTGAATGTCACAAGGACTTGTCTATTCTTTACAGTTGTCTATTATAAGAGTGAGTAATAATAAATAAATAATAAACAGGATAAGAAAACTTGTCAATGTGGCTGGAATATGTTGAGATAAAAGCTTACATTGAGCTAGCCCTTTTTCTGTTATAACCGATTCCCCTCTCAAGTAGCGTAACGAAATATTCTTTATGATTTAAGCAATATTGCCAGAACACATTAACTTTGAATGCAGGAATCAAGTGCGACAACCTAGAATATTAAGATTTCATTAATAAATTAAGGAAATGTAGAGAGAAAAAAAAATTGTACTTTGATGCAGTTTTCAATCTAATTTAGGTGCAAAATTATTTGAGGGTTGTGAGTCAAAGCTCAGAGAATGTTCTCTGTGCTTTTGGATGCCTTGTGACCAGATCCTTTTGGTTGTTTTAATGATGGGATGCCTAATCTGATACCTTATGCTGTCTTGCTTGTATTGTTAAATTTCTACCAACAGACTCTTGAACTTATACAGCAAGAGAGACTTGGGTTATCTAACAAACTTGAAGAGAAGAGGTAATTGAGGATACCACATAAATAATCTTAGTCTTAGATATCCCTCTAAAGTGTTGTTCCCTATCAGATCTTACTACAGAATGGTTGAAGAGGATATGGCTGCCAGATTACAGCAACAAAAGGTTTGATTTTGTGATTTCTTTTTAAATGAGATTCCAATTACTTGTTGAAATTGTACATTAAATTTTAAATCCCAAACAGGAATGGATTAGCTCTAAGAAAAATAGCAGACAAGTAAAGGAGCATGAATTGGTACGTTTTTGCTAATTCTGTTCTTTTTTTTTTTTAAAAAAAAGTGAACTATGCATAATATATAATAAACCTGTATATCCTTCAGCTTCTTTGAAATTAAAAAGCTTGATATGTGGCTGAATGTACTGCTTAAGCTTGCTCAATATGGATCACTGTCAGATTTTTCCCTTTAATATGTAAATGTTCACTGTGTTCCACCAGTAACTGTCAATTTTAATTTACGCAGGTGAAAGGTAAAGGTGATGGACCAAGGAGCATATCTGCAGGCAAGATTCTGAGCTATTTGAGCAAGTTTCAGATTTACCTGTTGTGCATGCTTGGACAATGTTTTGTAGGTTTTTGTTTTCAAACTCTTGGTAAATTAATGCTTTTAGTTTCAAGCTTATGTTACATATTCAACTAATAAATGAAACACTAAACCTAGATCCTGTTGATTTCATGTAATATAGTTTTAAAAAGTAATAATAAAGGAAAGGAAAACCACTTCTTTCTGTGTTTTACAAGCATTTTGAAAAGTGAAGTTTTAAAACTAAATTTGATACCCTGGCCATCTTTTATAAACATATCTTGCAGGGGAGGCAATTGCTGATAACAACTTTATCATGGATAATGCGGTAATTCATTTCTTTCATTGATGACTTGACATACAATACATGAAGTTTAAGTCAGGTATTTGACCTTTGTATAACAGGCGAGTGATGCAATGAAGAGATTACAGATCCAGTTGGATTCAGCTAAAGCAAGACTTGATGAGATTTTACTTCTGAAATCCAATCTTTTTGCAGAGAATAACAGGGTTCCTTATCTGAATCCTTTAAAACAGAAAAATATTTATTACATACGATTCTGCTGCCTTAGTTTGGCTTGTTTTCCCAGTTTTGTGCTGCAATTTACTTCCAAGTTGTGAGTGGTCTTACTTACATAATCTGTTTTTTCAAGTCATGGACAAAGCTTTTTACATCTGAAGTTATTAATTTTGCTGGATGAGAATAAATGGACGTTAGAAAAGGTCCAATCTTCAAACTTTCTAAAAGCTTTGATTTTTATTTGATTTATTCTCTATGTTGTGTTAACTGGATGATTTTTTTTTTTTTTCCTTTCTATAATCAGCTAAAATAGATATTGCTGTTTTGACAATCAATCTTTTCCATTTAGAAGGGTTGGAGCCAATATCTCCGATTCTCAACCATAAAGTGGAAAGTTTTATCTGCTGTTGTTAATATGTTATTTCTCCAGTCATGGAGAAAGATTTTCAATTCCTTAATGTTTTCATAAACAAATTTGTATTCACAATTATATATTTTGTGCTATTAAATATGGTTTCCATGATTAACTTTCTTGCATATCAGATGAGACAAGCTATTGAAGAAGCAAAGTACAGAATAAATACTTGTAAGGTTGGTTGTTATTTTGCAGGGATTTAAATTCTCTGTTTGAGTAATATGATGGTCCTTTATACAGATTGTCGGCTAGAGGATGGTTATACATTTTTTATGCTTGTAGATTTATGTTATATGAATAAGATTCCAACTTTTTTCCTCATAAATTGATCAATAATTGTGTAGGATTAAATCAATAATTTTTAATATGTTTATTTAATTATTTAATTCTTTTTTTAAACGCATGAGCTCCTTCAGTCAGAGATAAAAGAAGCAGATATAACTGCTCTTGAAGAAGAATATAATGCCCTTATGTCTGACAAAGCTGGAGAAATTGAGTACCTACGGTCTTTGGAAGAACAAGTTGAGAAAATCAAGGTAATAATTATTTGTGTTGGTAATTTATACAAGGTAGAGAACTAATCATCAGCTATAAAGTTATACCATAAGGTGAAACATGGTACAAAATGGAAATATTCAAAATTCAATCTTGAATTAAGTTTTTCAAAATTTTATATGGAAGCTGAACTCTTTTTGGTTTCTCTTGAACTTCCTCCTTGCATTTATAAAAGTCTCCGACTTTACAGGGGATCCATCATGCCGTAAAATGTGCTTGTGGGGAGGAATACACCTTGGCTGTGAGTAGGTGAATATAAAACAAAATGAAACTTCAGCAGGAAGTGAAATGATGCTCAATTGTTTTAAGTAATAGAGTAGATAACAATTGTTCATTTTTGTTTAAGAAGTCCATGTGCTTCTGTTCATAATATTGTTTGACAAAATACAAGTGTTTCATATGAAATTTACTGCGGTTTTGCATCAATAGAGTATTGCTTTTGTTTAAAGTAGCCAGCCACAGTCTGTCAACATTTAAGTCTATCACTGGGAGATTTACGGGACTACTTCAACTCATTCTGGGATCTCAATCTTATATAACTTGATTTCCGATCTGTACCTTACATAACCAATAATTAAATATAGCATTTGATATTTTGCTCACTCTGTCAGGAATATTATCCGCTTTATACATTGACATGTTGTATAAATCAGATACACCTTCCAATGCTCTTTCTATAGACTCCAAGAGATTAATGACAAATCATATTACAAATGTAGTTGTTGTATATAGCTGAATTGACATTCTCCTTTTGGGTGGTATTTATTCTGTGGGCTTGTAACTATCTATTTATATTATATAGGTTCAGAAGATAAGTGATGATGATATCGAAAACAAAAGTGAACAAATAGAGATCACCATACTCCAAGATGCTCTAGAATTGTGGATATATCACAGTCTGTATAGCTCTTCTCTGAATAGATAAGATTGGGGCTGTCTAGGTTGAACATGTCTTCTCTTTTGAAACTGTCTTCACTATGAAGAAGCCTTTCACTGCCTTCCTCTACAGCCCCTTTTAAAACAAGAGTCTTCTGGATACCAGCCATGAGTTCTTCATAATCTGTGTCACCTCTTTCTCCGACAAATGTGACTACTTTGGAGAGATCAATTCCCCACTTAACTGATAAGTACCTTCGTTTAGGAAGACTCATGTCATTTTACCTTTTATATTCAGTTATCTTATCTTGTACTTGAAGTTTCTGTGTATAATACAAGAAATAGGGAGGGCATGATGCTACTAACCTCAGAGCTTGTTTTCTTGAAGCAAATAATGGTATCACATTTAATCTGAATCCTGCATGTGTATAGACTAGGTTACAGCGGAAGCCTCTCATTCGTAGCCTTTGACGAAGATAATCTATCTTTTGAACCTGTGATTTGTCATTAACACATGATTATTAAATAATTGTCTAAAACATATGAATCATTGAGGTAGTAATTTCAGCTTATCAGGCAAGTTTCTTCTTTAGCACATAAACATTTTACCTTGACTCCTGGTTTCACACTGTAGGAATAGCACCTAGAACTAAAAGCACTGACACACTCTGCAATGCAGTCCTCATCTTCACCTTCAATCCCAGCCAGCCTGGGTACCATTGATCTAATATTTTCACCTGGCCATCTGTACTCAACATGGGCTTCATAATCTGCATCAACCATCAAATCTTTCCATGGATAATACATTTCACTTCCACTGTTGCACACTAGTGCATCAAATTCTCCTATGTTTATATTGGAGTTGTTTAATGCTTCAACTGTTTCTTTTAAACTTAAACCTGTTAAGAGTACAACTCCTACCCTTCCTGAGCCTATTCCTTGTCCTGCAGCTTTCATCACACTCTTGATAATTTCCTCAAAGGCTTCTGTCCTGTTTCCTTCTTTGTCATAACAATCTGCAGCAATCACAACCAGCCGTTGCCTTCTACCAGGGTGAAAACTGGCATTGAAATTGCCAGTAGTCGAGATCCTACGGCTAATGGCTTCAATAAGTTCCTTCTGTCTGGTTGCTGGATCTGTCTCTCCATTATTCAACTTGGAGTCTCCTTCTATGGAGAATCTCAGGGAAAGGTCCTCTACATCTCTTAGTGAATCACTTATTGGTTCTTCTGGAATTGGTATAATTTCCAAGCGAGAGGTGGGGTGGCGATTCCTGCAATGTTCAATGTGGGAGAGGTAGTTGCAGCAGTGCTCTGGCCATGAAAAACGGTGGATGTTTTTTAAGCCATTTTTGCGGCACTCTAGCCAGAGACTTTTGTCAGCAACAAGCTTTAGCAGTGCATCCGCAACAGCTTTCTGATTATGGGGATCAATCAATAGTCCATTGTTGAGTACCTGGTATGATATGAATATGTGTACAATAGATAAATAAAAAAATAAGCATAAATATAACTACACAATTGTGGCTGACTTTATGAACTGGTTATTGATGATGAAGTAATGATGGGACATTGTAGAGCAGGCTAATTGAATAGAAGGATTGAAATTTTATTGATATAATAAACTTTAATTCTGAAGATAGGAGAGATTGTGCTTATGCATTATAGTCTACCTTCAGAATGTCCACAGGCCCTCCATTTTTTGTGGCCACAACGGGTAAACCATAAGCTGCTGCCTGTGTAGTATGAGAAAGGAAAGGAAGCCTTGTGAGTTTTATATTCCCCTTTCATTGCATCAAACTATATTTCTTAGGATTAAAAGCTGAGGTTTACCTCAATGATAGTGAGGCCAAATGGTTCCACCAACGCTGGGTTGATAAAAACTCCCTTCAAGGGAGAAATTTGCCCAGTGTTAATCTTAACAAATATATTATAAGACAATAACGTTTAACTGTGCTATATTGGAAGACAATATTAAGACGTGGTGTGTAGGAAACTAAGTTCTGAGCCTTTATTTCGCATTATAAGCCCGTTGCCTTGAACTGTTATCATTACCAATGAAGGTGCAATTGGGACCTTTCGCTTCATTGCTTCTCCACATTTCAATAAATCTGATATTTTAAAAAATATATATCTAATAGTAGGACCATTATGTATAAGCACCTTAGTTTTTGCAGCTAGACGATATATCTCTGGTACTTCAGATTGCTTATGATGCTTCGGATAAGCTACTTGGCCGTACAAATCATACTTGTCAATGAGCTTGAGCACCATGGTAAGAACAGTCGAGCTGCTTTCAGACATGTCTTCAATATCATCTCTATTTCCAAGTATGAGTGTCTGCCATGATTCACAGTAAAACAGTAAGTTATTGCTTAGTGACATGCTGTGAAACATGTGGAAAATTACATGTGGAAAAACCAAAAATGAAAAATTCTCTTATTCATGAGAAGCCAAAAGAAGGTTTTCCTCAATCGAAATGTTAAACTTACCAAGTTGGCCAATTCCCTCAGACGCTGACACTCCCCAAAAGCCTTGAGCAAGGTCATGACATTTTTCTTGGGATCAGGGCGGGACAAGGCTAGTATGGTTGGCTTGTGAGGATTTGTGAAAAATCGCATTATCTGCAGAGTATATAAAACTCATTTTCAGACTTCTCTAGGTGTTAAAATTTCAGGGGAAAAATCAGTACGTCAATTAAAATATATCAGAAACAGTTCCTTAAACTTTGGACTACAATGAAGATATTAAATTTAGTTAAAATTCACTTAAAAACTTGCCTCTTTGCTTCAACAATTTTCACAGGTTAGGGGCTGAGGTGTGAATACAGATATGAGATCATTTGATCTCTTGCAGTTAATTTTGATGGGATTTAATTAATGTTTTTACTTTAGTCAAAAGTTCAAAAAGGTGTTCTATAATACCAGCTTTGTAAATAGATCGTTTTTCAAGAAGCATAACATAGTTTCCTTAGATATTAAGGAAAGATTTGTAGTTCTTCATGTGTTATAATTATTACTCATTGTTTTTACATAAACATTGAGGAAATGAACATAGCAGGGAAGAATTGTACCCAGGAGAAAAAAAAATATATAGCAGGGAAGAATTTACAACCTCAGACCATATAGGAGGTAGGTGCTTTTTGCCTTGAGCTCTGTCTGATCCAATCATTGACTTCAGGTCCCCCTCACCTTCCACTGATTCATGTGTGGTAACATAACTGAAGTCTATGCCTGGTGGAATTGCCTAAGGATACAATTTCAGCAGGAAATTCAACTGTTAATTTGTTTGATATGAAACTTTTGGAATCCCTTGATGAGAGTTTGCATCTTAACAAAAAGCACAAACTCTTTCATTTTCAAGTGCATTCAAGTGTCTGACGTCAACAGTACTATAACACTAACACACACGCACTCATATGAACACGTGCCAGGAATACTAGATGTTAATACTAATTGGAAGGTTAACAATATGTGCATTTAAGTGGTTTGCCCCTGCTATTCTTATAAAAGATAATAAATGTAGAGGTATGTATGCAATTTCTCATATATTGAGTCTGTTCTGGTCAAATCATTGATCTGAAGATTGATAGCCTCCACATACCTAGTGAGATTATGTAATCTCATATTTTATACTTTTCAAAGGTTAATGTGTAATTGTTTGCGTTATTGTTGTCTGTACATGCTTCAACATTTGAGAATAGTATATAACAAGTAATTGAAGGCCAGCAAACATTGAGATTAATTGTGCATACCACCATCCTAGGCATGTATCTTCCTAGGCAGCTTACTCCACGCCGTCTCCGAACCCTAAGCTTCCTCTCCAACTTGAGATCAAACCCATCATACAGCCCCCATTGCTCTTCAGTCTCTTGCCTGGTACTGGTGACAATCATTTCTGCAGCATCCAACCCGATTTCCTCAGCCTCAATCCTCCTCATGATCTTGTATGTTGCATTTATGGCCTCCCTAGACGATCTTCCTTGCTTCAGAAGTTGTTCAAACTTGTTACGTCCCAATGAGTGTCCTGTCAGTACCATTGGCACGTTCAATGCACCAGACAAGTGAGCTGCTATCTCCCCAGCATCAGCATAGTGACCATGGATAACATAAGGCCATGCAGGTTTTCCTCCCTCCACTTGTTCACCTAAAGCCCTTGCCATGTTTCCAATGTGGTTCAGAGCTCCATCTACAAACTCAGGTATGTAAGGCCACAGCGACTCTTTTGGTATATACCTGCATCACATGCCCCATCAAATTTTTTGATCATCCAAATCTGAAATATGGTTTAAATTTTTTTTTTTGGGAAAACACAATTATTGGTCCCTATAGTTTTAATGTGTTTTGGTCTGGGTCCTTATAGTTTGTTGCCCCTTTATTTTTTTAAAATGTCCAAAAGAATGATCTAGCGGCACTAACAATTTTAAGTATGCTAACCATTAACTAACTTTGTTAGTATTTGTTTTGAGGTGGAATTATGTTTTAACATATTGAAACCTGAAACCTAAAACAAAACAGGGTGGACAACACTATTAATCTGTTGAATCATAATTTCACTGACCACCAATTAATAGTGTTAGTCATAATTCAACATATTTAACGCTATTAGTATCATCTCATCATCCTTCTAGGCATATTCAGAAATAGAGAGACTAATGTTATAGACAGATAAAATGAAGGGACTTGGAGAAATGGAAAAAAAAAAAAAACTATACTAACCTATACCAAAGCAAATTAAAACTATAGGAACCAATGGTTATGTTTTTTCTATTTTTCCCCTTAACAAAAACTTTGTTTGAACTACAATTGGATAAAGAACATATAAATTTGCAGTTGAAAACTCCAAGTTAATGAAATTTATATTGACTTATTGATAGAAAATATGGCAGATGTTATTCTAGAAAGAAATAACTGTTCTTTTTTTTTTGCATTATTTAGTATTTTGTAAGTTTCCTTCTAAGGAAGGAAATCTGACTTACTTTTGCTTTTACTCTTCATATATTTTAATTTGCAAGTTGTTGAGCTTCCTTAAGGGAAAGGAAAGCTTAGTCTATAAATAGATTAAGTTATCACTTGTACTGGACACTTTTGAATGAGGAATGAATATTAGAATCTAACAACTCTCTCTTTCGCTCTCCCCTCTTCGTCTGCCTCCTTCCCCCTCCACTGCTCTGCCTTCATCTTCTTATTTCTTCTTCTCTCTATATTCTGTCTTTCTCTCCCTCTCTGTTCTCGATCTTCTACTCTGTTTTTACTGTTTCTCTCTTTTTCAACTTTGTTCAAATCAATATGAGCGTGTGTGTGTGTGTTTTGCATCAACTTGGTATCAGAGCAAGGCTCTGAACATTCTTAGGCTGTTTTCATGGCCGAAGATCGGAGAAAACTCACAGGGAAGCTCAGCATACTCTGTGTTCACGCTACCAGCACCTAGAGCCACATTTCCCAACGTTAGATCCAAAAACGGACACCACTATCGTGCTCAGGAGGAGAAATCTGGTCAAAACCAGAAAAACCACCTCCGCTTGCAGGCACACGCGCCGAAGGAGTTTCTGCTCGTGGTCGTCACACGCTGTCACACATGTCGTCCGTACAGTTTCCCCAGGACCTTATTTTCATCATTTTCTTGTGTTTTCACGAAATTTCTTCAACTCTAAAGAAGCTGAGGGGCACAAGTCATCGTTTAAAACTTATTTGGGGTAAAAATTTTTGTTTAAGGCTCCTAAAGCAACGCTAGTAAGGCCGACCATTCTCTCATTTAACTAGCTTATTTGGTTATTAAAGGAAGGTGTTTTATTCATAGTTAGTTCTGAAATCTTTGTTGTGTGGTACTTTGGTTTCTTTGAGCATTACAATTTTTATTTTTATTTTTATTTTTTAATCTTGATTTAATTTAATATTTTGAAATAGATAAAAAAAATTTACATTGATCATTATGTTGTTAATTTGTGACTTTTGATAGCAGTATTCATCTAACCTAGGACACCTACCTCACACACAATTCGGCCCTATACCTAGGTCCAAAAATTACCCTAGGTTAGTTGAAGTTTCTAATGATTTTCTTGAAAGGTTTTTAAACCTTGGGAGATTTTTGTAAAGACTTCACTCAAGTTACCTATTTAGCATACGATCCCTGTGAAATTTTTGAATTCTCAGAAGATTAGTGTTGTTAAAAAGGGACTTCACCTATTTAGGTAAGGGCAACTTAGGGGCCTTTCTTCCTTAGATTATTAAATCCACTCCAAACTTACACTTTACTATACCATCTTTGTCATTGTGTGACCATTTGTGATTTATACGATAAGCAAGCTTTATTAGACCAAGAAATTACTGCCCTAAAATCTACCATGGCCAATAACTCCCAAATCACCCAAAATCATCTTGAGGAATCTAAAAGGACTCAAAGGGCATATGTGGACCAGTGGCTAGATGAAATTAAAGAATTCATGAGCAATAAATTTGAAGAGATAATGGGTGCAATTCAATTAACATATAGACAAGATATAGGGAAAACAACTAAAGGGTTACTCAAAAGACCTATCATTAAAGGAAAGTCAAGTCTTAGAAATGAGCAATTCGCAATCCACAATCAACTTAAGGTAATTCCCTTAAGATTGGTCATTCCTCTAAAGCTATGGGTGAAAGACACAGTAGACCATCTCCTCATGAGTTTACCAATCATCATTCTGATGACATAGATGATACTTAGGATGGACAAGGGCCTAAAGAACAACATTATAGACCATACCAGCTAGTCCATAGGAATGGTAGAGAAGGCCTTAGAAGGACACATGTTGATGACATCACTAAAAAAGTTAAAGTTAAAGCTCCTGAGTTTGATGGACGATTGAATCCTAGTACGTTCCTAGATTGGTTAGCCAGTATGGAAGATTATTTTGAATGGTATGACATGAGAGATATTCAATGAGTTCAGTTTACGAAGATGAAGCTCATGGGATCTGCTAGAAAACACTGGCAAAATGTCCAAAGGAACATTGAGCGATAAGGTTATCTATCGATTGAGACATGGGACAAAATGAAGGCTAAGCTGAAAGAAAAATATGTGCCAACTCATTATAAGAGTAAACTGTATCACAAATATCTTAATTTGAGGTAAGTCTCCACAACTTTTGAGTATATTTCCTGATTCGATGACCTTATGATTAGATGTGACATGGATGAAAAGGAATGGCGCACTATTACCACATTTGTTAATGAACTCAAGCCATATATACAGAAGGAGCTCAAGTTAAACTTTCCAGAGTCACTTGAAGAATATTATCATAAGACTTTAGAAGTCGAGTCTCTATCACAGTACTCGTTTGTAAAGTGTATCGACATGCAAAGCAATCAGTTTAGACAAGCACGAACTTCCAACCTGCCTGAACAACCAACAAAAGCACTTACATCTAGGCCTAACTCATCTTTTACACCTACTCAAGCAACTGGGTTAAAAGGTAATACTTCTAAGCCTAGTGAGGCTATAATTCCTGCTTCCGGCCCTAACAATTCTTTTGTCGAGTGTTTTTGTTGTCACTCAAAGGGTCACAATACGTCAAAATGCTCACAGCATACTCTAGTTATTGACTCTCAATGTGAGAATGAGGAAGACAATGCAAATGCTGACATTGTCATAGATCCGATTGAGTGTCCTTCAGATGTTGATGAGGACATCATCATTGATGAACATGGGTGTAAGACATATTGAGTTGGAGTTATGCGATGTATTCTATCTGTCCTTCTGCTTAGTGATTCATGGAAGTGAACAAGTATTTTCCATACTTTTGTGAAGTGTGGAGATAAAGCTTGTAAATTAGTGATTGATGGAGGGAGTTCTAGAAATGTTATTTATAGTCAAGGAGTAGCCCAACTCGACCCCAAGACAGAACATCACCCAGAACCTTTTCGTGTTGCATGGGTCGACAAGACTTCTTTACCAGTCACCCAATAGTGTCACATTCCTCTTCACTTAGATGACTATAAAGAAGAGATTATTTGTGATGTTCTGCCAATGGATGTTGCTCACATTTTACTTGGTCGACCGTGGCTTTATGACTATAATGTTATCAATCATGGTCGTGAGAATACCTATACATTTAAGTATGGAGTTAAGACGATCTTGTTATGTCCTGACAACGAAGGAAAATACTCAAGTAAATCAAAAGGCACAAAACCCAAAACCCACAACTTGTATCTTCTAACAAAAAAACAATTCGTACAAGAAAGCAGAGAAAGTACGATTGTGCTTATTTTAGTATCCAAGATCTCACAACGAATTGCTATTACTTCAAAAATGCCAGAAGAGGTACAACAGCTCTTACAACAATTTCAGGATATCACTCCAAATGAGCTTCCATTTGAATTGCCATCAATGAGAGATATCCAATATGCAATTGATTTCATTCCAGGTTCACAACTCCCTAATCTACCGCACTACAGGTTGAACCCTAAAGATAAGGCAGAGCTTAACTGACAAGTCAATGGATTGTTGGAAAGGGGTTATATCCAGCATAGTATAAGTCCTTGTGCAGTACCTGCTCTTTTAACCCTAAAGAAAGACAGCTCTTGGAGAACGTGTGTAGACAGTAGAGCCATCAACAAGATCACCATTAAGTATAGGTTTCTCATTCCTAGACTTGATGACATGCTTGATTTAGTGTTTGGATCTAGTTGGTTTTCAAAGATTGACCTCAAAAGTGGTTATCATCAAATCAGGATTAGACATGGAGATGAGTGGAAGACTACTTTTAAAACGCAAGATGGGTTGTTTGAATGGCTTGTCATGCCTTTTGGGTTATCAAATGCCCCAAGTATATTCATGAGAGTGATGACTCACCTCCTTCTCTCATACTTGGGAAAATTTTTGGTAGTATACTTTGATGACATTCTAGTTTTTAGCAAGTCAAAAGAAGAACACTTGGAATATCTTGAGTTAATTTTTCTCACCTTGCATCAAGAATAATTTTATGTTAACTTGCCTAAGTGTTCATTTCTTCAAAATCAAGTCATTTTCCTGGGTTTCATAATTTCTGAAAGGGGTTTAACAGTTGACCTTGAGAAAGTCTAAGCCATTCGAGAATGGCCTGAGCCACAATCTCTCCCTGAAGTATGAAGTTTTCATGGCCTTGCTTCTTTCTATAGACACTTCATTAGAAACTTCAGTACCATTATTACTCTTATCATTGATTGCTTAAAACAAAACAAGTTCCAGTGGACTTCTATAGCTTCCGTGGCTTTCCAAGATATTAAGAAGAAGCTTTCTCAAGCTCCAGTCTTGTCTTTACCGAATTTTACAAAGTGTTTTGAAGTTGCTTGTGATACATCTGGGACAGGAATCGGAGGTGTACTAAGCCAAGAAGGTCATCCTGTGGCTTTCTTTAGCGAAAAGCTCAATGATGCCAAACAAAAGTACTCCACTTATGAAAAGGAATTTTATGCAATCGTGAGATTCATTGAGCATTGGAAGTACTATCTTCTTCCGCAATAATTTGTTCTTTACCCTGATCATCAGGCACTTAGGTTTATCAACTCTCAGCGGCACTTAAATGTTAAACATGCTAAATGGGTTGAGTATATTCAGGGATTCACTTTTATGGTCAAGCATTGTTCAGGAACAGAAAATACAATGGCTAACGCCCTGAGCCAATGGATCAACTTGTTGCACACTATGAGCATTAGTGTTGTTGGTTTTGAAAACTCGAAGGAAGACTATGCTTCCAGATTTTGGGATAATATACTAAGAAGTTCGCAGTGGTAATCGTCATGAGCATGTTGATTTCATCCTTAAAACCGATCATCTCTTTAGCGAAAGCAAGCTGTACATCCCACATACTTCTATGCGAGATTTTCTTATATGGGAGTTATACACTAGAGGTTTAGCTGGTCATTTCAAAGTTAATAAAACAATGGCCTTAGTCAAAGATAGGTTCAACTAGCCTTCACTTAAGCGTGATATGGCTTGCATAGTATCTTAATGTCGAAATTGTCAAACTTCTAAAGCCAGGCGACAAAATATCAGTTGGTATACTCCTTTTGCTGATTCCCAAGGCATCTTGGAAAAACTTGAGTATGGATTTTGTCTTAGGATTGCCTCACACAGCTAAAGGTCATGACTCTATATTAGTTGTTATGGATAAGTTTTCAAAGATGGCTCACTTTATTCCTTGTAGCAACACTACGAATGCTTCACATCTGGCAAAGTTGTTCTTTAAGGAGATTGTGTGTCTGTGTGGGTTACCTACCATTATTGTATTTGATAGAGATGTTAAGTTTGTTAGCTACTTTTGGAAGACCTTATGGAAACTTTTTGGTACCAATTGAAGTTCTCTTCTGCTTTCCACCCCTAAACTAATGAGCAAACTGAAGTCACTAATCGCAGTTTGGGTAATTTGCTTTAGAGTTTAATTGGAGATAGGCCGAAGAACTGGGATTTGGTTCTACCCACTACAGAGTTTGCATATAATAATTCAGTGAATAGGTCTATAGGCATGAGTCCCTTCCAGATTGTTCAAGGTTTTAATCCTAAACAGCCTACTGACCTTTGCCAATCCTATTGACATTTCGCATCTCTAAATCTACGGAATCCTTTACCAATCGCCTTCATGAATTACATGCTAAAATTAGGCGCAAATTAGCAACGAGTAATGATCAATATAAATTATCTGCTAATACTCATTGTTGATTTCAAAGCTTCAATATAGGTGATTGTGTTATGGCTTGCATTCATCCAAAATGTTACCCTAAACATGCTTTTAAAAAGTTTCATGCTAGAGCTCTGGGACCTTTTCGCATAATAAAGAAATTAGGACCTAATGTTTATCTTTTAGAATTACCTTCTGATATGGCCATAAGTCTAATTTTTAATGTGGAGGATCTTATGCCTTACCGAGGAATTTTTGATCCTCCCCTTTTGCTTTCTAATGATTTGCAAGTACTCAGCCTTCACAGGTGCCAATTCCATCATTGCCTACTATCTTACCATCAGTTGATGAAATTGAGACCATTATAGATGATCAAATGGTCTTTACCTCTGGGGGGCCCCTCCGTCATTATTTGGTTCGTTGGAGAGGTCGATTTGATAAAGATGCCACCTGAATTTCAGAAGATGAATTCCAACAACTTAATCCTGCTTTGCTAGAAGCCTATCAACTCTCTACCTCTCTGGAAGAGAGTTCTTTACAGCAGGGGGAATTGATAGAAAATATGGCAGATGTTATTCTAGAAAGAAATAATTGTTTTTTGCATTATTTAGTATTTTGTAAGTTTCCTTCTGAGGAAGGAAATCTAACTTACTTTTGCTTTTACTCTTTATATATTTTAATTTGCAAGTTGTTGAGCTTCCTTAAGGGAAAGGAAAGCTTAGTCTATAAATAGACTAAGTTATCACTTGTACTGGACACTTTTGAATGAGGAATGAATATTAAAATCTAAAAGCTCTCTCTTTCGCTCTCCCCTTTTCAAAACTCAAGATAAGTGATGCAAAACACACACACACACACACACACAAAGAGAGATACATCAGAAACAGAGTGGGAGATTGAGAACAAAGAGGGAGAGAAAGATGGAATACAGAGAGAAGAAGAAATGAGAAGATGAAGGCAGAGCAGTGGAAGGGGAAGGAGGCAGATCTCCCACTCTGTTTCTGATGTATCTCTCTTTTCCAACTCTGTTCAAATCAATATGTGTGTGTGTGTGTGTGTGTGTGTGTTTTTTGCATCACTTATCTTGAGTTTTGAAATTCTTCTTAGAGACCCAAAAGACAAAAAGCTTGAAGTGCACAAGAAAAAAAAATTTAGGACACTAAATTCAAATGTCTTCTTGTCTGAGTCATCTAGAATAAATTTAAAATTTAATTTGGAGTAATTAATACAAATGTCTTAAGGAACTTACTTGTCTCTAGGACCACATGGGAGACGAATTATATAGGCTCCACAGCTACCACTGCCATCAGGGGGACAAGACAACATCTCAATGGGCTCTCCATAGCTTGAATCTACTTCTGGTGATGTTATCTGTCTAGTTAGTAGATCAACTCGGTATATTCCCTTTGTGTTTGCAAGGGCGCGAGCAAGTTCCACCACATATTTCACCTGAATTTCAACTCAAATCTAAAGTTTTGGACAATATAAATGGTCTTTTTAGATCTGACTTAAGCTTAGTTCAGCTTATTAGAGAGAAATTATTGCACAGTTTTAGGGCTTGTTTGGCTTTGTTCTCATTTTTGTTTTTTAAAAACTATTTTGTAAACCAATTTTTTTAAAAAAATTAAAATGAAAATCTATTTAATTATGTTAATTTGAAGACAATTATATTGTTAAAAAATGGTTGACAATGGTGATCACCAATAGTTAACAATGATAACCTATGATAGTAGTTGGTCATAATTGAAGGTAATTTACAATAGTCAAATGTAGTGTGTTTTAAAAATAGGAAAAATTATATTAAAGTCCTAGACAAGAAAATTAATTACTGCAAGGTCCATTGACAATGCAATTTAGTTCAGTTGTCAATGGACCTTGCAGTAATTAATTCCTTATGTGGGACCTAACTGTAATTCTCCCTTAAAAATAAAAAGAGAAGAAAAGAAAACGAATTCAATGCTAAGATGTTTCCAATTTTTTCTTTTTAAAAACAAAATATGATAACAATTTTGAAAACATTTAAATCTTGAACATTTACCCAAATGAATTTTATTGTTGTTATTATTGTTGTTGTTGTTGTTGTTATGATTTAAAACAGAAAACAGTTTTTGAAAATAGAAATCAAATAGACCATTAATCTATTGATTCCCAGAATCCTAGTCTTCTATACCACCATATATTCTCTTGAAAAACAGTCCCCTGCCTGTAATATCACATGAAGTGAAGTCGGAGAGAATGTTGGGAGCTTCTCTTTATGACTTATGATGTTGGAGTTCAACTAAGTTATGTTTGAACTTGTCTCTCTTTGTATATACATTGGAGTTTATATATATTTGATTGATTAAATCTAAATCTTAGTCAAGTAAGGTTAACACAGATGATAAAAGTGGGATGGGATATTATTAGAAGTCTAGTGTTCAACCCTCTTGATGTAACAAAATAAATTAAATCAAAACAAGTTAATGTATAACAAACCTAATAAAGAATGGTATATGCCCACATGGAAAGCTCAAAGTTATGCGTGAAATGTCTGTCTGTTGAAGTTAACAAGTACCTGACCACCAGTATCAGAATCTCTCCCAAGTTCCATGTTTTCTCCTCTTACCAATCCATGAATGCTACAGGAAGAAATTACTATAATTATAGATTTTGAAAAATTGACAATATTATGGTCATTCTACCCATGACGGACCCAGAAAAAATAGATTGTCCATGGGGGCAAAATTTTTACTCAGGATAAATAGTAATTATTTGTAAAAAAAATATTAAATTAAAGAAATTTATTTTTAAAATTAGTAGATTTGTTAGAGGATAAGGGAGACACATCTGAGGGGGAAATTGGAAGTTTTCTTTTAAAAGAGGGGAGCAATTGAAATTTTCTAGGAAGGCAATTGAAATATTTTTGGTTATTATATGTAATTTTTTTCTTGCTTTGTGGGGGCAACATAACTTAATTCAAAGTCGGTAATCCGGGCAAAACTTGATGGACTAACTCAAATCCACTTGAAAAAAATTTAGGGCTGGCCTTAAGAAAAAAAAAATTTTTATGTTCAAGGGGCCCAAAAAAATTCAAACCAAGCCCAATCAGGGTTTGGGCTTGGCACAAATACTCCGATAAAAAACATATACATTTAAAAAATATATAAAATATAATAAATAATGATTAATTATTTAATTTTTAGGTCATTTCATACTAAAATATCATATATTTGAGTTCTATACATCATTTAAGTATCCAAAAAAAAATATTTTTTTATAAAATAAAAGAATTAATTTTAGAGAAAAAATTAATTAAAAATAATTTTAAAATAAAATTCATGTATTCAAATTGTCCTAAGCACGAATGAATTCAAGCTGAGCTTGGCTATTCCAAGCTTTTCAAAAAGTCGAGTAGATTCAGATTTAGGCCTATTCAAGTTAAGTTTATTCAACCGAGCCTAAACCCGACTGGCCCGCTTATAATTTCCACCTCTACCTAATTCTATAAAATATCAAATTTATTTTACTTTTAATTTCTTTTGGTGAACTAGGACTAATATTCCCATGCCTGATCACTTTTGTTATATGCTTTGATGATAGAGTGAACATGATACCTGATCAAGACAATGTAAAGGTTCCTAGACTTATTATCATCCGACCAAAGTTGCATTTCGGAACTGATCCTGGGAATGTCCTTCCTAGATTCTGAAGCATTATTGACATCTTTCTCTTTTTCACCTTCTGACAATTCTGACAGGTCATCAGCAGCATCATTGCGGCCTTGTTCGCGCTCAATTCGCCGTTTTGCGAGCTTCTGCGCATCATCCCATGCAATCTGCAAACAATGGTCATATGGTACAATCTAGTTATGAATGTTTAGGCGTGATCAATATTCCCAATACTATAGAACAATACTAAGGGACTAAAAATTTTATTATTCTAAATTTATTTAAATAAGAAAATAATATAGAACAATTCAGAACTTAAAATAGAATTGTGTTGTGCATAGCTTATGAACTTGCATATATTAGATTGGATACATATGCTTATAAATTTGTGGTAAGCTTATAGACACATGCATTATAGAAGCTACTGCTTTTTTAGATGCAGATCAAGGATTAAAATTTGAAAATCATCTTTGTGCTTTTGATTTTGCTCTTGTGTTGTAAACCCAACATTGTGAAGCAGTTTTGTAAAGTTTTATCAAAATTATATCAATTCAAATATCACTGTCTAATATCTTATGCACAGTATAGTCTTGTCAATTGTCAAAAGTTAGTTAAAGATCACTGTCAATATCTTATGTATGTATGTGTGTATGTATTGATTATTATCATCATTTTACTTTATGGCACATCAATTAGATCCTAATTTTCATATTCCTAACCCATTTAGTTCCCTTTTCCTTTTGCAGAAATGCAAATGGGTTACTATGAATCAGCTATGAACATATCAAGGGCTCATTTGGTACAAGATGGGGTTGAAATAAAGAGAATATAAATAAGAAAATAAATATGAGAAGCTCTCTTTCCACAAAAAAAAAAACATTTCATCCTTTTCCAAATACAATAAAAATGTTTTCCCTCACATTTTATCTTTTCTCAAAATATAATCCCTTTTCCATGAACCAAATACATTTTATCTTTTCTAATTCCAAAGTGTATTGGCAATATTGCAAACTAAAGTAAAAATAAAGTAGTCGATGCCATAATTTCTTTGGTTTTTCTCAAAAATATTTCAGACTAAGACGATGAAAATTAACCTATCATGGCTAAAGATTCCGAAAAAAGCTCTAATTTTTAATTCATTTTACACTTTCTGCGCAAAAAAAGTTACCAAAATCCTTTTGAAGGTATTATTGTCATATAGCTATGAACCAAGTTATTTGTCAACATTTTCGAATAAGGGAAAAAGAAGCTTTCTCAAGTAATAATTTCTGGCACTAGGCTTGCTCCTTTTTAAAAAGCTTTCGTTCTCCACTTCAAAGTCACTTTTGTAGATGCTCTAGTCTTTTCGCATACACTCCAATATCTAACAATCTCTAGAGCATATAGTGCTAAATGTATTAAAGTATTTCAAATGATGATGATGATAAGTTAGATATTGTCATGTCAAGCCAGCTCGAATATTAATGCCAGGTTAAGATCTAATCATGTACAACATTTTATTTCCCAAGCTTTTTTAATCAAATCCAAACGAGAAAACCACCTAATATGTATATCTTATGTATTTACAATCATACATGCATACATACTTATTTACACACACACATATGGGTTAAAGGTTACTTTGCCATTATCTTATCATGTGTCCATTATTAGTGAGTCTTATATTAAATTTCTTTTAATATTTTTATCATAAAATATGTGGATTCAGGGTGTCCACTAACCCTTAGCAGTAAAGTAAAGCTGAAAAACAAAAATAATCAATGACCCAATAATTTATAATAAAGAATTAAAAAAAAAGCAATTTGGGGCTCACTAACAGTAAAAAATGGCAAGTTAATAGTAGCATGATGAGAGAGGAAATTTTTCATATTTAGAGATAGAATTAACCCATAATTAGGTTTAAGGTGTAAAGTGACCTTTTGAATAAAGATGAGAGACAAAAATGATCATCAACCCTTGTGTGTATGTTTGGCAAAATTATATTGAAGTTTCACATAATCAATAAATATTGTAATAATTAATTTTTTATATGTGAGATTTGAATGTAATTTTTTCTATATATTTCAATGCATAGGTTGAAACTTACTCTCAATGATACTGCTATCATGTGGTTGGACCCGACCATTAAAAAGAAACAGGTAATTCTTTAAAATTATTTCTCTTCACATTTGGTTATAAGGACCTGTTTAGTATAAAATAAAAGAAATGAGAAATAACTTTAAGGAATTACCTGTTTCTTTTTGCGGGTGAGATGCCAAATCCTCCAACACATATTCTCCATCCTATTACTCCGATCTCTGCTGTTTCTTGTTGCTATTACCTGCTCATTCAAATACCTCATTAAGTGTTACTACACCATCTAAGAACATTAATTGCAAATTAAAATTGTTAATGCATAAAATTTCAGGAAAAGACCATGGTCTTTTGTTGGGATTAAAAATTTTTGGGTTAATTTTTTGCCCTCATTTTTAAAATTCTTGTAACTCAACTTCAATATTTTTAATGCTTATCTTTAATCTCACTTATGACCAGAGAAATATATGACGTGCAAGAATTTTTAAGTTATCAGAAATTAACTGCAACACCCAAAACTTGCGTGTAGAATTGTGTTAGGAAAAACATAAATGATTAAAAAATAAGTTATTTTTAGATAATTTGGAGATTTTGTGAAAAGAAAACATTATTTTATATTTGGTTACAATAATAAAAAGTAATTATTTGTTAGTTATTTTTAAATTTTATTATATATTCCTCCCATTTAAAAATATAAAGTATTTTTTGAGAAGTTTGATATTCAAAAATGTAGAGCATTTTTAGTTTTTTAAGGTGTAATCATTATCTTTTTTTTTCAAAAGTGTCCTAGTGATAAATATAAAGTGTTTAATAAAGGTAAATATAAAAAGATAGGGTTAATTGAAAAGTAGGTAACTACTTTATTAAACGGTGAGATTTAGTTAAAAATACCTTACATTTTTTAACAGAGGGAGTTTTCCTTTATTCTGTTTTATAAAAATAATTTTAATTCTGATTATTTTCAAAAATTTAAACAAATATCATAAAATCTCACAAAAAACTTTTTAAAAAAATAAATAATTTTTTATAAAATAAACTAAAGAAAACCAGCCCTAAAATTATAAAAGTTTTAGAGGAAAAGAAAGAATCATGTTTTAATTCCCCCAATATAATTAAATATTATAAAATTTATTGATAACTAAACATATTAAAATGACAATTTAAAACATAGAAAAATAATGACTTTTAATTGTGTTATTTTCTGTTGTTATTTTGCCGTACTCAGATGTGAATAAACTTTATAATATTAATTAAATGGGTTACTTGGAAGTTTGGTACAATTCTCCTTAAAAAATTACTATTGTGGCTTTCTTCTATTTTTTTTCTTTTTCACAATAAGTCGTACTGATCTTTCAGTCTAAACGCAATGCCATCCAATTGTTGAAATTGCAAAAAGACTACCATTCATTTCATCACTAGGCAATTTCACTCTTTTTTTTTTCTTTTTCATTTCAGCCAACAAATAATAGGGAATATCTCCCTGAAATAAGTTTCTCCCAATTAAGTTATTATATATATGAGAATTATAATTTAAATTCTCAACTACTTATTTAAGTGGCGAAAATCTCTACCATTCGCGTCAATTTTAAATGGTATATATATTTTAAAAATTAAAGAAAATAATTTGTAATTTCAATAAATTAATATACTGTTTATATATATAATTAAATAAAAAAAACTAATCGGAAGAATAGAGGATAGTCTCAGCCACATGCTTAAATTACAAAAGCTTTTAACGCTCATACCAATTTTAATTGGTATATATATTTTTAAAATATATGAAAATAATGTGTACTTTCAATAAAAATTAAGAGACATATATATATTACTTTAAAAAAAAACCCTCATAAAAGGAATACAGGATAGTCTCTTTTCTTTCCACCATTAAAAATTAATCAAACAATAGTTATAGTTAATTCCAAACTTAATATAAATAATGACTAAAATTCATATAATTAAAATGGCAAAATAATAAAGTTAAAGAGAAACAGCAGATCGAGCAGAGAAACACAAACCTTAACCCAAGTTCTGTAAAGATCAAATTCATCAAAGCTATTGATAACTTCTTCAACGAAATACTTTGTAGGACTGAACAGCTTGTTGTTGTTGATGCTGTTATCATCATCTTTTTCTTCTTCCAATTTTCTTTCTTCTTCAAACCTAATCATTGATCTGTGCTTTCCATCAAAACTATTATCAGTTGATGATCTCTTCCTGATGATGGAGCTGCTTCTTCCTCCCACATCCAATATTGCCTCCAAATATCCATTCAACCACTCGTTCACTGCCATATTAATTTCTGCGTTTGGAAGCCGAGAAAGTTACTGCACTTCTTCAACTTTCTTGCATCTGTTTGGAGCCTCAGAAAGAGGAACTGAGGAAGGATATGGTTTTTGGAGTTACAAAGAAAGGGCTGTTTCTTGAAGCTAAGCCAAGTTGGTCTCATCCTGCAGCCACTGGCTTATAAATGGTCTTTTTTTTTTATTCATACCCAAAAAAAAGGTTAATTTTTATTGAATTTTATGAAAAATTAATATTTTGGTACCTATAGCTTTGACCCAGTTAAAATTTAGTCCTTAAATTAAAGTTTGATACAACTCAATCCTGTAATTTGACTCAATGCAATTCAATCCTGATATTTTAAAAAAATAAAACTATAAAAACTAAAGTTATTTTTTGAATGTGAGGGACCCAATTTTTTAAATAATTAAAACTTTAAAAACTAAATTACACTTAATCAAAATCAAGTCAAAACTCTAAGAAGTACTTCCTTCAATTCAAAATATAAGTATTTTTTTTATCAATTAACATTAGCTCAAAATATAAGTTACTTTGTAAAAAAAAAAAATCCCCATTTTTTCCTTGTATTTATTAACATAAATATGTATGTAAAGTTATATCTTACTCATCATAAAGTGCATTAGTAATTGGGACTTAGGGAAAAATAAGAAAAACAATATATATCTTTATAAGAATGATAATTTTATCAGTATGCAAATTTTTTTTAAAAAAAAACTGCTTTTATATTTTGAACTGGAGTTTTCATCTAATCAAATTAGTTCAAGTGCTGAAGTTTAATTAAATCAAAATTACATGACCAAATGATTATGGAGTGAAAACTGTTCCTCATATTAAATTTTATTACACTATTATTATGTACTTCCAAAATCTGCAAAAACCTTTTAAAACATGAATGAATCATTATATATAAATACCTTCTTTACTTTTATTTAACCAACCTTTATTTATGTATTTTAACGAGAAGTCTATGCTAACATTAAAAGTATAAGGATGGTTTACATAATGTTTAACAAAAATTCAAATAATTTTAATAAAATTTAATACGCACACATAGAAAAAATGTAATATCAAGTTTCTTTTTTCAGCAGAGAATAGAAACGAATCTTCTAAATTTAATGTGCTGATGAGAATATTGGCTTTTATTCTCATTCTCTTACTGCTTGTACTTAAAGAGAAATATAAACCGAATATTCTTAATTGGTTCTTTGTTATTATTATTATTCTCAGGCCTACCAATACCTGCATTAATTAATTTCATAATGTGTATATATTCTTCTATAAATTAAATTTAGAGTAAACTACCTTGACTTCCCATCTAGTTTACCTTAATTGTGTGTGTGTGTGTTTCTTCTATTTTAAAAACTTATATAAATCTATCTTAAAATCAATAATTACAAAACACAAACCTCTCTTCCACTCTTAAAATTTTATTTTCATTCACTCAATTAACTTTGCAATCTTTAATTTACTGTTAATTCACATATATTGGATCAAAATATCTATCTTTAAATATAAATATTAACTAAAATCATTCAAGTTACCCCTAAAATTTAATGGATATTTTTTTTTTACCTTTTTATACATATTTAAAAATTTTATTTATGACACATTACTTGTTTAGTATTTTATGCACCAGTTAGCTAAAATAATATGTTAAACACCCATGTATAAAAAAATTAATGAAATAGGGATTAAAATGTAATAAAATATAAATTAATCAACATAATTTATATTTATTTTTCAATATATTTTTTAATTTTAAAATTATTCTTTAAAAAATTTTGACATACTTAATTATTTAAATTTCCTTTAATTGGGGGAAGTAGATTATTAAATTATAAATGAAAATTAATAATTTTAAAATTTTCAACATAATTGCATTTAAAAATTAAGTGTTTATGTAATTTTAGAAAAATGGAGAGAAAATCAATGTCTTAAATTTGACTTTGCAAAACGGGAAATATGTAATGGGTTCGATTTGAATTTTGATTCAATCGGATTTATTTTATTTTTTATGTCATATGATTAGCGTAGGCCTCAAATGTTTTAAAAAGTTTAAGAAATGAAGATACCGTATATTACTCATACGTAAATATAACTACTTATTAGAGTTTTTCTATTATATATATAATCTTGCAAGTTAAGAAAAATTACTCTCAGATTTAATGCAAGTAATTTAAATACAGAAAAATTTCGTGAAATCATAAAATTATTTTGAAATCTCATTATTTATTGAAGTTGTCAACTATTACTGAATAGTTGTTAATTATTGCTATTTAGCTGTCAACTAAATAATTTTACTAACAATTATTCAGCATTAATTGACAAAGTTAATATAACAAATTGACAGCTTTAGCAAAGGTTATAAAATTTCAAAGTAATTTTTTAATTTTATGCGATTTTTTATATTTAAATTTTTTTATGTGAGATGTAAAAGTGGTTTTTTTTCTTCTTCTTCTTCTTCTTTTTTTTAAGAGTAGCTTCTGATGTGAAAATTACTGTGTTGGTTCCATTTGCTACACGGAGTCTGAGAAATAAATTATAACTTCATGACTTTAAAAATACTAATATAATATGTTCAGGTTTTTATAATTGCTTATAGATTTTTTCAAATTTTTATATCTTTTCTTAATGGTAAAAAAAAAATTGTCATGGCTGTGTGATTGACTTGATAATATTCAAGCATTGTCCAATTTAATTGGAGATAGCTCTTTGCATTTTTTTTATTAGTTGAAATTTTCTTTGCATGTACACAAACTCAAACTCAAGACATTATATTTAAACGGTTATAATATCTTATACAATGACCAACACCAATTGGCATATTTATTTATTTTTTTCTATGGTTGTCATGTTTATTTTGTAAGATATAAAATCCAATCACAAAAACATATCATCAACCAAAAAGATTTCAATAACCTCATGGTGGCCTAAAAAATAAGCTCATATTATTTTTGTATTGTATTAGGTATTACTACTTTTCACTCAAACTAATTTAAACTCTCATTATGTGGAACCGTTATTACCAACAATGGTTTCACAAGTATCTTGAAGATACATTTAATATATTTATGTAACTCAATTACATATTTTAAAATTCAAATTCAAAATTTTAAAATACTGATTCAACTCGACTAATTGAACCTAGCACCTCTAGATAATAATCTCATAGTATTATTGAGCCAAAATACACACTTTAAATTAATGTTGACTTTTTTTATTTTGATTTAATTCACATCAATTTAGGTCAGGTTCATCAATTGGAATGATTCGATTTTATGCACCATTCTTTCTAACCAATTATAAATGTTTCTTTTTCATTATAAATACCACCTTCTGGTGAATTATCTCACCTAATATTAATTAAATTAACTAATTTAGTTAAAAGAATATTTGGCTTAATAGTACTTTGTCTTGAAGAATAAATGCAAATATTGGAAAAATCACTTAAAAGAAAGTAACGTTATACGCCACTCAAAGAAAAAAGAATAACAGATAATATTCTTTTTGAAGATTAGGAATGTGGTCACTTTAATTTTAACTTTTTTGTGGTCTTGAAATTGACATAAAAATAACTATACTTGTATATTGCTATTTCTTTTGTTGTTTTCCACAAAAAAGATATACTTTTGAATATTATTAATGAATATTGTTTCATCCGTAGAAGATGTAATAACATTTTTAACAAATTGTTATCAAAAAAATGTTTCTAGCAAAACAAAGCCAAATTGTATAGCATTTAAATTTCATCTAATTAACCTTATATTTTATTAATTAAAATCATAGATAAAAACCAACAAAAATCAATAATAACTGTTGAAGATCATAACATTTTGAAATTACGTTTAAATACCATGATCTTTTTCTACTGTTTACGAATTATTTTTATGACTAAACTACAGTGTCTCTAAAAATAAGTGACTAAATATATACGTTAGATAAGGGCATTTTAGTCAAAACATTATTTTTAAAACTGAAAAAAATGATCGTGATTTTTAAATTCAATTTCAACATTTTGAGGTCCTAAATAGTTATTACTGATTTTCACATATCTGTAATTAATTTATATTTTTCCTTTTTCTGTCAAAATTTCATCTAACCCTAGAAAGAAAATCCAAGCTTTTTATATTCTCATTTTATTTGATTTCATATTAAGAACAAAGTCTTTATTTTTATTGTCGTCCATTGGTTAATAATTATTCCTCAGTAGTGTTGCTTTTGAAATTAATATTTTAATCATCATGAATTAACAATGCAAAGTATCCAGATTTTCAAGGTAGAGTAAAAGATAATGGTTTGGGGTTAAAGGTGACATTAAATGAAATATATACTCTTAATCAACCAAGACATGAGTTTTTTTTTTTTATTTGTTTATACTTTATCATGAGCATGGGCAAAACAGAAATTAAATAATTTGCTGCACAATTAATAATTTCAAAATCCGTCAACAATGCATTTACTCTATATTTTGTATTTTATTTGAATATTTATTAAACAAAAAATTTATAAAAAAATGGTTGGAAGATTGTATATTTTAACATAATATTTCTCTTTAAAATGAAAAATATCAAATTTAGAAAGAAAAAACATACTCTCTCCATTCAAAAGGGTAAGACAATATCTTTTCATATGTATTCCCATTTAATAGGGTGTTTCAATATAAAATAAATATAAAGCAATTTAATTATTAGAGATACTTTTAAAAAAATAATAATAATTACACTTTAAAATATTAAAAATATTTTATATTTTTTAATGAAAGAAATAATATATATTTAAAATATAAATTTGTGAACACTGAACAGCCATTCATTCTTTGTGTTAGTGCATCTGATACCTAAATTTAACAAAAGGCATCTATTACGTCAAAAGCAACCTTAGGGAAAAGCTTAACACTAAATTTTAACTATTGAACAACGTGAAGTTTTAAGAAATAGAATCAAAATAAAGTGGTGGAAATAATACAAAAAAAAAAGGAGCAAAAGAAAAGATAAAGTGCACTGCATGAAATTTCTTTTTAAAAAAATAAAACAAGAAATTAACGCAAAAATCAATCAAGGGTCCTAAAAGCATATGCGTATTCCTTTGGGCATGAGCTTTGCAAAAATAAGACTAAAGC